TTGTAAAACAGCCCTTTCAGTTTAAAATAGAAATGAACGGAAATCCTTTTACCCTTTTTTGCCTTTTTTTATAAGCTATTCTCAGCTGCATAAGAGCTAAGAGAAGAGAAACAGCAGCACACTGATCTTCCTGCTGAATGCCTGTGCAGGGGGGGGGGGCAGTGGGGCGGAATAAGTCTGGTCATTAGAGGAGAGCAGCCTGAGCATAGCTAGAGAACTGACCACGGTGTGCTCTCCTGCTTGGTGTGGTCAGTTTTTAATAGGAAAGCGGAGACTGGCAGAAAAATCAGGAATTTCGGACAAAGGAAGTAACACAATGTACATGGTACAGCAGGCACATATCAGGAATATGGATTGTTGGGTTTAAATGTTCTTTAGGACATCCATGCATATCTAATGATCTTAATTCAGTGGTCACATCTGGTTTAATTCACCATATGGATACATCAATCTAAAGATATACTCATCTCCATTAGGGAATAGCTAATAGGTTACTCATGTATGGGACTAAGAGGTAGAGAGGTCCAAGTCTTATGTGTTGAATCTGTATCCCTGGGTGCCATCCTAGAAAGTCACTGGTTTTTACATTGTTGTAATCATCATTTAAAATATGTAAACCCAACATGTGCCTGCTATATGGTACTTGTAGGAAACAGTATCCTGTTTTCTTTGTATTGCTTCATTTGTATGAAAGATCTGGTGTTCCTGCCAGTCCCTCTGCTTTCCTATTAAAAAGTGACCACATAAAATATGAGAGCACAGCGTGGTCAGTTTTCTGGCTTTGCTGAGAACTCTCCTCCAATGATCAGTCTTCTGCTGACATGCCTCCCCCCTGCACAGCCATTCACTGGAAAAAATCAGTATGCTGCTGTTTCTCCTCTACTAGCTCTCTGAGCGTCTTATGAAGCTGAGAACAGAGGAAATGTGATCACTTACAAAAAAGAGAATCACGTATTTATACTTTTTTTTTATATGTATAAAAAAAATGTTTTGCCTTTCATTTTTGTTTTTAAACTGAATGGGTTGAGGTTTTCTATATACTGCGCTTTAATATGATGAAGATATGATAAAGGTTTCCTTCTCTGTATGCATTCAATCTGCTGTCACAAAGGCTTTAAATATTACAAAGAGATATACAATGTCAAGGGTATCCAGAAATCGCGACTGATTTTATACATGGCTTTCTGTCAAGGATGTTTTGTAAACATGAATCTACGCTGGGAAAGACAGAATAGACGCCTTTATCTGTGCGCCATACTTGTAGTTCTTGTTTTTTTTTTCCTAAATGAAAACATGCGCTGCTATTAACCAGTGTGTGTTCTGACATGTTAGCTGTCTATCAGAAAAAAAGGCATCTAAATTGTTAGCTATTTAATGGATGCTGAAGCACAGAGGACTGTTAGATGATAACCCCTTTAAATTAAATTAACCTCCCTGATTATGTCCATATTTCTGTGCTCAAAGCGGTACATTGTTTTCAATGGAAATATGTTGTTTTTTTATTGTAGGCCTGTAATTCTTAGGAATAACTCACTGAAATCTGTCCGAACAAGAGTCTAGTAAACATTCCGGATATGATAAAATTTGAAACACGAAATCATAAATTATAATATAATAAATAATCATAAAAAATAATAATATAATAATAATAAATTTAATACAATAAATATAATCAAACCAAAAACACTGAAATTTGAAATAGGGCGCCAAGTTCGCACATCACTGAGCAAAGTCGCAAAATCGTTTTCAGTGTCTGATGATGAATTTCCCCCACAAATCATTATCACTCAATTCTGCAAGTGGTTCTGATTTACTATCGCTGTTCTCTAGCCGGTCTAAAACCGATTTTGATCTAAAGGGACGCTTTTTGGACGCCGTGGACGTTTCTCAGTTTCCAGGCAGAAAGACAGTAAATATGCAGGCAGGGCGCCGGACAAAGCACTCGGGACAAAATGTATGTGAAATGGTTTTATACAGGAATGTTATACTATCAGATTTTAGTGTATTGAGTGAATGTCAAATTTTAAAATTTTTGAATCTCATCCCCCATACGTCCCATACGTCCCTACGCACGCAGGGAATGGACCCAGAAGATGGATGCCAGCATCGGCCAGAGGACATTGCCAGGGATGCTGCAGGGGGGACATCGCGGAGAGCGCAGGACAAGGCAAGTGCTGGAGGGATCCCAGAGCAACGCTGAAGTGTAATCCCGAGTGTAGCTCAGGGTTAAAGCTTCCATTACTGAACGTTAACACCAAGCTACACTCGGGAATACGCCAGGGGGGTTAAACAGAGTGAGCCCAGTCCTCTTGCGCTCATCTGGTTTGTTTTGTATTTGTTTAACCACTTGCCCTCTAGAGGATTTAACCCCCTTCCTGACCAGGCCATTTTTTTGCGCTACGGCACTGCGTTACTTTAACGGACAAGTGAGTGCGCGGTCATGCAACGCTGCACCTTTTTTTCCACAAATAGAGATTTCTTTTGTTGGTATTTGATTGCCTCTGCATTTTTAATTTTTTGGGCTATAAAAAAGAAGACCGACAATTTTGAGAAAAAAAACTATATTTTTGACTTTTTGCTATTAACCTCCCTGGCGGTCTGATTCTTTCCGATTTTTTGTGCTGAAAGCGGTACCATTTTTTTGCATGGAAATATGTAGTTTTTTATTGTAGGCTGTAATTTTTAGGAATAACTCACTGAAATCTGTCCGAACAAGAGTCTAGTGAACATCCCGGGGAGGATAAAACTTGAAACACGAAATCATAAATTATAACTTAATAAATAATCATAAAAAAATAATAATATAATAATAATAAATTTAATTCAATAATATAATCCTAGATTGTAAGCTCGAAAGAGCAGGGCCCTCGATCCCCTCATGTTTTGCATTGTATTGGTATTGTTCTGTCACATGTTCTGTCCCCCTTTGTAATGTACAGCGCTGAGCGGACTATTGGCGCTTTATAAATACTGTATAATAATAATAATCAAACCAAAAACACTGAAATTTGAAATACAGAGGCAAATTCGCACATCGCTGAGCAAAGTCGCAAAATCGTTTTCAGTGTCTGATGACGAATTTCCCCCACGAATCAATATCACTCAATTCTGCAAGTGGTTCTGATTTACTATCGCTGTTCTCTAGCCGGTCTAAAACCGCTTTTGACCTAAAGGGACGCTTTTTGGACGCCATGGACTTTTCTAAGTTTCCAGGCAGAAAGAACAGTCAAAATGCAGGCAGGGCGCCGGACAAAGCACTCGGGACAAAATGTATGTGAAATGCATTGAAACAGCAATGACAGCAAAAATGAAATTTTTTAAAAATTTCAAATTTCCCGCCGGTTCCGGCGCCCGTACGTCCCGACGTCACAGGGACCGGAACACGGAAGCCGGATGCCGGCATCGGCCAGAGGAGATGGCTGGGGACACTGCAGGGGACACATCATGGGAGCGAAGGACGAGGTAAGTGCTGCAGGGACCCCCGAAGAACGCCGCATGGTAAGCCCGAGTGTAGTTCGGGGTTACCGTTCTTGGTACTCAAATTTTACCCCGAGCTACACTCAGGAATACCGCTAAGGAGGTTAATGAGCGTTAGTATGGACGTTAGACAGGCGTTAATGAGCGTTAGTATGGGCGCTGGACAGGCGTTAATGAGCGTTAGTATGGGCGTTAGACAGGCGTTAATGAGCGTTAGTATGGGCGTTAGACAGGCGTTAATGAGCGTTAGTATGGGCGCTAGACAGGCGTTAATGAGCGTTAGTATGGGCGCTAGACAGGCGTTAATGAGCGTTAGTATGGGCGCTAGACAGGCGTTAATAAGCGTTAGTATGGGCGTTAGACAGGCGTTAATGAGCGTTAGTGTGGACGTTGGACAGGCGTTAATGAGCGTTAGTATGGGCGCTGGACAGGCGTTAATGAGCGTTAGTATGGGCGCTAGACAGGCGTTAATGAGCGTTAGTATGGGCGCTAGACAGGCGTTAATGAGCGTTAGTATGGGCGCTAGACAGGCGTTAATGAGCGTTAGTATGGGCGTTAGACAGGTGTTAATAACCTTTAGTATGGTGTTAGACCTGCTTTTTACCAGCATTAAAAATGCTCCCCAAATGCCAAAATGTGCAGTTTTGAATCATTTTATAAGTGTTTGACAAACGTTAAAACCACACCACAAACAAAATAAAACTGTAATGTTAATAACCCCTCGCCTACAGGACACTTCTACCCCCTTCCTGCCTACAGGACACTTCTACCCCCTTCCTGCCTACAGGGCACTTCTACCCCCTTCCTGCCTACAGGGCACTTCTACCCCCTTCCTGCCTACAGGACACTTCTACCCCCTTCCTGCCTACAGGACACTTCTACCCCCTTCCTGCCTACAGGGCACTTCTACCCCCTTCCTGCCTACAGGGCACTTATACCCCCTTCCTGCCCAGGCCAATTTTCAGCTGTCAGTGCTGTTGCACTTTGAATGACAATTGCACGGTCATGCAACACTGTACCAATATGACATTTTTATCATTTTTTTTTTACACAGATAGAGCTTTCTTTTGGTGGGATTTAATCCCCCCTGGGTTTTTTATTTGTTGCTAAACAAACCAAAAACAACTGAAAATCTTGAAAATAAAAGTTTTTCTTAGTTTTTGTTATAAACTTTTGTAAATAAGTGATTTGTCTCCTTCACTGATGTGCGCTAATGAAGCTACAGTGATGGGCACTGATAGGTGGTACTGATGAGGAGGCACTAGTAGGTGGCACTGATGGGCATTGACAGGCATCACTGATGGGTACTGAAAAGCAGCACACATATATGGCACTAATAGGCGGCACTGATAGGTGTCACTGATAGGCGGCACTGACTGGCACTGATAGGCAACACTGACTGGCACTGTTAGATGGCACTGTTATGGCACTGATAGGCGGCACTGACTGGCACTGATAGGTGGTACTGATTGGCAGCACTGATAGGTGGCACTGACTGGCATTGATAGGTGGCACTGACTGGCACTGATAGGTGACACTGAAAGGCAGCTCAGATGGGCACTGATATGTGGCATTGATGTGCACTGGTAGGCACTGATATGTGGCATTGATGAGGCACTGGATGGCACTGATATCTGGCATTGATGAGGCACTGAAGGGCACTGACAGCTGGCATTGATGGGCACTGACAGGTGGCACTGCTGAGGCTACACTGATCATCAGGGCACACTGATCATCAGTGCCCTGATGATCAGTGTACATGTCCCCTCTGAGGAATGCCAATTACCAGCATTTCCTTATTTACATGCGATCAGCTGTGATTGGACACAGCTGATCACATGACCGAGCCGACATCTTCAATTCTTTCCGTTGATCGGTGATCCGCTGTGCCCGAGGGACACTGCACACCACCGATCGCCGCGCTGCACACTCCCGGAGCCGCGCACGCGCAGTTAGAGTGGGAGGACGTCATGACGTCCTCCCAGAATGAGAGAACCGCCTTGCGCCCATCATTACCTTATATGGTGGGCGGGAGGCGGTTAACACTCCGCAACCGCATCACAAACGGCTGCCAGTGCATTTGAGAAGTGTCACCATAGACTTGAATGGGAGGCGTTGAAAGGCTTCAACCTCTTCCTGACTCGACATGAGGCTTTCATCTTGAAGTGACGCGATGCTACGCTTCATGTTTTGATAATGTGAACAGCACTGTGTGCTGCCCATAGAATCATTTGCATAGGCGTTTGAGGAGCGGTAAAATTGCCCCTCCAACGCCTGCTTTCAAGAATTTTGAGCAAAGCAGTGCACACGACCACAATTTACATGAACTACATGTACCTATCAAAGCAGAAGTGAAAATAAAAGAGCCTACGTGGGGTCATGTGGAGAGACCATTGATAAAGCGAAAAGACTGGATGTGAAATTAATTTACAAACTATAATCAACAGCTGGGGTGTAGTACTGCATGTGGGATTAAGATATTATTTTTAAAATGAGCAATTAGTGACTATTTAAAATGTATCTGCACATGAGCACTGCTTAACGCAAGCTTTACATAATGAAACAGAATGTACAGAACGTCACATAAAATAAAATGAATGTGAAATGTTCTGTTGGAGTTCCACGTTATATATGACAATGTTTAGCCTTGCAGCTTATGCTTATATTTATGTGAAAAATTATTTAAAGGTTAGTTTTTTTTTTTTTTCAATAAAATCCAGCTCCCCTATGCACCAATATACTATTAATGTACCTCAGTTGTAGAAATATACAAGCTCTCTTTGATCTGGAAAACAAGGCCTTACCTTAGCCCTTGGTAAATTTCTTAGAAAGCTTTTTCACTTCCTAAAATGTAGACAGAGGACAGAGGAGCCAGTAGGACCCTGAAAGCAGATTACCCTGAAAGCAGATTTTTTATCAAATCCAGCTCCCCTATGCACCAATATACCATTAATGTACCTCAGTTACAAAAATCTACAAGCTCTCTTTGATTTGCAGAGCAAGGCCTTACCTTAGTCCTTGGTAAATTTCTTAGAAAGCTTTTTCACCTCCTGAAATGCAGACAGAGGACAGAGGAGCCAATAGGACCCCGGAAGCAGATTACCAGCTGATCCCATTAGCACACACATCCTGCACTGACCTCAATAGTACACAACCCTTTACCCATCAACTATTTTTTCACAGCATCCCCGGGATCTCTCCCCATCTGCATTTGCCTGATACCCCAGCGTCCCTTCAGATGGGCTCATGCCGCATGCAGCCCATGGGACACCCCTGATGTAATGCAAGGGCCTGCTTGATTGGATATAGAGTGATTGGAAAGATCTGCATCCTCCTATTATATAGTTTTGGTAAATCTAAAGGAGATCGTAAAAACTGTGGGGGATGAACTAATAGGAGAAATAGAGGATTTGGTTATTAGCTGAAGGCAGGATAAGCTTCCCCGAAGTGGAGCAGTACGTTAGGTTTTCAGAGATACCCTAAAAGTGGACAGAGTAGGCAATAGTTGGATAGATGGGGGGGTAGAGAGTTCCAGAGGATTGGGGAGGCTCTGGAGAAGTCATGGAGATAAGCATAGAAGGAGGAGACAAGGCAGCTAGAGAGCAGAAGGTCATGAGAGGAGCGGAAAGGACGGTTTGGGTGATATTTGGAGACAAGATTGGTGATGTAATTTGGGGCAAAGTTATAAATGGCTTTATATGTTATTGTTAATGTTTTTAATTTTATTAGTTGGGCAATGGAAAGCCAGTGGTGGGATTGGCAGAGAGGGTGGCAGACATGGAACGGTTGGTAAGGTGGATGAGTGCGACAGCAGCATTCATGATAGACTGAAGAGGGGATAGCCTGCGATTAGGTAGGTCAATGAGGAGTTAAATAGCCAAGGCGAGAGGTAACAAGGGAGTGAATACATTGCTTAGTGATTTCAGTGGTTACAAATGGGCGTATCTTGGAGATGTTACAGAGGTGAAGTCTTCAAGATTTGGACAGTGATTGGATTTGGGGCTGAAAGGACAGATGGGAGTACAGGATTACACCTAGTACCCTGGGGGAAGGGACTGATGGTTGTATTATGGAACATGATGGAGACGTCAGGGAAGGGGGAACAGGTTGGAGGGAATATTATGAGCTCAGTTTTAGAAAGATTGAGTTTGAGAAAGTGGAGTGACATCCATGCCGATATGTCACTTAGTACGTTAGTAATGCGAGAGGAGATTGAAGGGGTGAGGTGAGGAGTAGGAAGATAAATTTGTGTCATCAGCATAGAGATGGTGCTTGAAGCCATGGGAGTTTTATCAAGTGACCAAGAGAGGAGGTTTAGATGGAGAAGAGAAGGGGTCCAAGGACAAAACCTTGATGGACCCCTACAAAAAGAGGAGAGGAGGAGTAAAGGTTATAGTAACACTGAAGGAGCGCTGCGATAGGTAGGAGGAGAACATGGAGAGAGCAAAGTCTTGGAGACCAAGAGAGTGGAGTTTTTTGAGGAGGAGGGGATGGTCAACAGTATCAAAAGCCACAGAGAGGTCAAGTAGTAAGAGTATGGAGTAGTGGTCATTGGTTTTAGCAGTTAGTAAATCATTAGTGAGTTTTAGTAGGGCAGTTTCAGTGGAGTGGAGTTAGCTAAAGCCAGACTGTAAAGAGTCATGAAGGTTGTTGTCAGTGGGGTATGAGCTCAGGTGATTGTAGACTTGGCCTTCTAATAGTTTAGAAGTAAACAGGGAGCAAGGGGATGGGTCTTCAGTTGTTTAGGTTGGTGGGGTCCAGTGTGGGCTTTTTAAGCATGGGAGTGATCTGTGCATGCTTTCGAGGGAAGGGACCAGTTGAGGTGGAGAGATTGAAGATGTGAGTGAGGGAGCATAGGATAGAAGAAGAGGGTGACCATAGTAGCTGTGAGGGAACAGGATCCAGGGGGCAGGTGGTGAGACAGGCTTCTGAGAAAACTTTAGTGACCTCTTCGGTAATAACAAGGTCAAAAAAGGAAAGTGTTGAGGAAGGTTTAGTATAAGGTATGCTAACTGGGATAGATATCTTTGCAGTGGAGATGTCCCCATGAATTGCATCAGTCTTGTATTTGAAATGATTGGCAATCTCGTAAGCAGTGAGTGAGTTACTGGGTGGAGGTTGCAGTGGAGAAAGTAGAGAGTTAAAAGTAGAGAAGAGACGATGAGGACTGGATGACAAGGTATTAATAAGAGAAACAAAGTAGACTTGTTTGGCAGCATTAAGGGAGGAATTGTAATTTAAGAAAGCAGATTTTTATAAAGGGTAAATGCTTGCTGGGGTTTGGTTTTATGCCACAATTGCTCCAGTGCATGGCTATGTCTCAAGATTACTGGTGTTGTCAGTCTGCCAAGGTTTTAATGGTCAGGGCGTGATACTTTGTGTAGTTAAAAGAGCAGGTGAGTCTAGTGCTGATGAAAGTGAACTGTTGTAGACAGAAGTGGCCAGGTCAGGGCAGCACAGGGGAGAGATTCTGTCATGGAGGTGGTCAGTTGCAAAGTAGAAAAGAGAAGGGCTAAAGTGGTGAAGGTTTCTGCAGGTAATTGTTTGCTGCTTTGAGGGAAAGGTGTTTGAAGACGAGGACATTGTGCAAGTGGTGAGATTGTGATCAGAGAGAGGAAAGGGGGTATTTGTGAGGTTGTAGGGAGTGCAAAGATGGGAGAAAACAAGGTCTAATGTATTCCCATCAGAGTCAGTGGAGGACTGTGTCCATTGTGTTAAGGCAAAGATAAGGTTAGGTTGAAAAGTTGGGATGTAGCCGGGTTGTTAACATTAATGTGGATGTTAAAATCACCAAGAATGATAGTGGGTATTTCATAGGAGAGAAAGTAGGGTAGCCAGGCAGAGAAGTCATCAAGAAAACATGCCACCGGTCCAGGAGGCTGATAGATCACTGTAATCCTCAGAGAAATTTGAGAAAACAGCCAAATACAGTGAGTCTCGAAAGAAGAGAAGGATAGAGAGGACGGGGTAGGAAGGACTTGAAAGGTGCTCAGTGGGGATAGAAGCAAACCAACTCCAATTCCTTTCTGACCACAGGGTCGGGGTGAGTGAGTCCAATGGATGCCTCCATGGGAAAGTGCTGCAGGAGAAGCAGAATCTGATGCTTGAAGCCTGGGTTCTGTAATTGATAGTAGGTTAAGGGAGTGGGAGAAAAATCTCTGTACAATTTCCTTTACATTTACCAGAACTATGGAACAGAATTGTATCAAATCAGACAGGCCCTTGTATTACATTAGCTGATGGGAGGAAAGTAGTATTGTAATGTGGGAGTGGTGGTCCAGAGTAGTAAACACCCTCTTCTGTGATACAACAAGGAAGTGAAGGCTTCTGGGAAGTAACCTACAGAAAGTGAATGCTGAGAGGCCATCTACTGGAAATTATGCATTTGAAAATTTGTTCACAATCTCTCAAAAACTGGCACAAAATGAAATGTCCTGTGGATGAGGTGAGAGAAAATCATATTGGGATGGGTGGGCCAGAAATGGCATTGGAAAATGCTTCTATTTATTATGAAAAATGAAATTCTGCCCGAAAAGGGGAATGTATCCTTTAACTGCGCTGAGCACCAAAAAAAAAAAATACATACAGATTGTGAACCATAAAACAAAACAAACAGTGAAACGATAGCCACACTCAAAAATACCAATACAAATATTCAGTAAGTGATATCCAGTGGTTGTTGCGCTATTGGTAAAAAAAAATATACAAATAGTGAGCCACTTATAATTTAAATGTACTACAACTAATATTATCTCAAAATATATAAATCATCAAACAATGAAAAAAGACTCTGGTGCCCCCCACCACAGAAGATGTACTGCTTCTTACCGAATAGTTAGATACCCTTGACAACATCTA